AAAAAACATAGAAATAATACAAAGCATCTTCTCAGACCACAATATTACAAAATTAGAATTAATAAAAAGAGGATAAAATAGAAAAAAACCCCATACATTTGGAAGCTGAACTACACCTTGCTTGAACATGAATGGGTATTAGAAGAAATAAAAAAAAATTAAAAAGTTTCTTGAAACAAATGACAGTGAAAACATCACTTACCAAAACCTCTGGGAATCAGCCAGAGCAGTAATCAGAGGTCAATTTATAGTAATAAGCAAACACATCAAAAGGCAGGGGGACGGGAAATGACCATTGACTCTCTAACATAACATTTCCAACAAATTGAAAAAGAACAGCCAGAAAATCCTACACCCTCTAAAAAACCTGAAATTACAAAAATAAGGGCAGAAATAAATAAAATAGAAAGCAGTAAAACAATTGAAACCAACAAAACTAGGAATTGGTTCTTTGAAAAAGTCAATAAAATTGATAAACTGCTAGCAAATGTAGCAAAGGAAAAGACATAAATAATCAGAATAAAAGATGTAACACACAATGTCGCAACAGAACCAACTAAAAGAAAAAGGCTAACAATGGAATATGATAAAAAAACTATACTCAAAGAAATATGAAAACCTAGAGGAAATGGACAAATACTTAGAAATTAATGACCTACCTAAACTGACACAAATAGAAATTGAACACATGATCAGACCCATTAAAAAAGAAGAAATTGAAAAGGCAATAAAATAACTTCCAGGCAAAAAAAAGCACTGGTCCAGATGGCTTTACAAGTGATTTTTAGCAAACATTTAGAGAAGAACTGTCATCAATTCTACATAAAGTATTTCAGAAAATAGAAAAAGATGGAATTCTCCCACACTCATTCTATGAAGCAAACATATCCTTGATACCAAAGCCAGGCAAAGACATTACCAAAATAGAAAACTATAGGTCAATATCCCTCATGAACATATATGCAAAAATCCTGAATAAAATCCTGGCCAATAGAATCCAAGGATACATTAAAAAAATAATAATTAACCATAACCAAGTGGGATTCATAACAGGTATGCAAGGATGGTTCAACATAGGAAAAACAATCAGTGTAATTCATCACATTAACAAAGCAAAGAACAAGAATCACACAGAAAAGGCCTTTGTCAAAATCCAACACCTTTTCATCATTAAAACAATCAACAAACTAGGATTAGAGGGGAATTTCCTTAGCATAGCAAAAAGTATATACACAAACCCGAAAGCCAACATTGTTCTCAATGGAGAGGGACTAAAGGCATTCTCTTTGAGAACAGGAACAAGGCAAGGATGGCCACTATCACCTCTCCTATTCAATATTGTATTGGAAGTCTTGGCGATAACAATAAGATAAGAGAAGGAAATAAGAGGTATCCAAATTGGTAAAGAGGAGGTAACATTATCTCTCTATGCAGATGATATGATAGTAGACTTAGAAAACCCTAAAACAGGAAAACTATTGGATATAGTTGACCAATTCAGCAAAGTGACAGGATACAAGATCAACATGCAAAAATCAATTGGATTTCTCTTCAGTGACAAAGAGAATACAGAGCTGGAGCTGAGAAAAACAATACCCTTCACAATAGCTAATCACAAGATTAATAATTGGGAGTAAATTTAACCAGAAACAAAAGGTTCTATTAAAAAATTATAAAACATTACTACAAGAAACAAAAAGAAACCTGGAGAAATGGAAGAATATATTTTGCTCTTGGATAGGAAGACTCAATATTATGAAAAAGACAATACTACCAAAA